ATAATAAAATATTGTGCGAAATTTAATATGTATTTATTTTTTAGAAATACAAGGGAAGCGGCGCATCCACCGCTTCCAATGACGGCACGCCACTGCACGGTTTATTTAACATCGTTCAGGGGAAAATTTTGAATCGAAATAATATAACATTCATTTCAAACCCGATGTTCATATGTAGTTAATCTGGGCCTCCTGCCCCTAAGCATTTTACTTCTAATCTCGACTTTTATCTATCTCACCCCTTTCTCAAGATTAAGAAAGGACAGACAGAGACAGACAAACATGGGACAACAGTTGGAATTTATAGGTTACAATTTTTTCAAATTGCAGCCCAATAATTTTTCTATTTACGAGAACATACTTCCTACGTAGTTTATACATTATATTGCCAAAATTTAAACACTATTACCACATAAAAGCAATTATTCTAGCATTTCTACAAGATTTTTTTTATTTAAACAAGTCATACGAAGTCTTTCAGAAGTTAAGGTTAGCTACTTCGATCACGTGCGGGATCATCACAACCCATCTAACACGGATCACTTTTCAAATATTAATAGTAGACCAGTATTAATTAATAGTCGTTGACTGTCCTCTCTTCCGACAGGAGGTCAACGACTACTTTTGGTCGAATTATTTCAACCCCCTTCCGCAACGGTCTCTTCTTTTTATCGGACCAGCAGTATGGTGGCATTGGAATAGGAAACATGAGTTTCGCAGATTGTCAGGGGGGGAATGTTACTTTCGCGTCAGGATGGTCTAAGCCTTAGACCATCCTGACCCTCAGCACCACTCATATATGCAATCGGATTGCATATGTGAGTGGTGCTGAGGAGGAAAAGAGGACAAAACTCGTTTATTGAGAGGCATAAAACTCGTTTATTGAGACAAAAATGTGAGGCCCGGAAATAGTCCATAAAAGGGGGGATTTAAAAAGAAAAATATAAAATTTGTTAAGTTAAACCATGAAGAAAACAAGTTATATAAGTATCGAGTCGGCGACACCTGACTCAGACATCGTCGCCCTTTTCTCTTGGTGCTTCCGCTCGCCGCTATCTAGTGTTACTTTACTACTTCGAACTCTAATTCGCCATCGCTCCGGGGCTCCACCATCGCGAGACGAAAAGAAAACTACTAGAGACATTCAACCGAGATCTGGGACCTTGTCAAGCATTTGTAAGCATGATCTCCGAAAAAAATAAACGGTTTCTTTGTGAAACACTTGTCTTTTCCTGCCTCCTAAACCGCCATCCACATACGAGTAGACTTTAGTCCATCCCGACGTGAGGGAATAAAACCCCCAATCGACGAACTTACAGTGATGTCCGAGAAGTGGGATTTTAAGTCCCTAATCTCCACCATGAGGTCGACGAGTTTACAAAAAGGATGTTTACAAGACAGTTTCATTCTTTAAACCGATGTTTTCAAGACAGTTACAAGTATTCATTCTTTAATTAAACCGTGTGGTATAGATAGAGTTCAGTCGGAGATTAGATGATCTTCTCCTAGGAACGATGACGGCAGCTCCTGGACAGTCTCGTGGAGGTGGCAGGCGAATGTTTCGATGAAATTCTAAGTCGAGAATCGATAGGCAGGATAGGGTGATGCAGTAGATATCACTTTTGTTCACCTAATGGCACAAGGTTCAGACAGATGTATATAATCCGGAGGAACTGCACACTCGATCTTGAAGTCCGTGTTTTTATAGCTTTTCTCGATTTCTCAACTTTTCCGATTGGCTCAACTTTCCTCATCTTGCTTCCCCTGTCTCCGGGTGAAAACCGAGACCAGTTCGAGTCGCAAGAAAGGTTCATTTCGGATAGTCTATTTGATACCATCCGTCGACTCTGACTGGGAGAGCTTGATGAAACTATGAAACCCGCACTCATATTTTACATCCATTGCCTTTTTTCTGACGTTTTAGAATTACAACGATCTAACCAGTGGCGGATTTCTGCACAGGCGCGCGCCTGGGGTCTCAAAAGGCCTCAAAATTCAGCTCTCAAAATAAAAACAAATTATTTTAATTAATAATTTTTTTCATAATAAAAATAATTAATAATTTAACAGTAGCCCCTAAATTAAATTACCCTTAATTATTTATCAAATAATAGTAAAATCTACTAAATCTGAACATCAGTAACCTTTTAAATACAGCCAGGCAGTTGTAATTTTATATTGGTTAATTTTCAATGTTATTTCTCTGTCTCACTTTTTTTGACCACCGGTATAGTGCTTACCAGAGTAAAAAAAAAAAAAAAAAACGTACGCGTAGAATGCACACTACAGAGTGTAGGGGTAGTGAAAATATTTAAAAGAGGCCTCAAAATTGAATTGCGCCTGGGGCCTCTCAAGTGCTAAATCCGCCACTGAATCTAGCGCGATGTCTTTTGACCATCAGCTCTTTCCCTCTTACCAATTTTCTAACTCAGATCGATTGTACTGTACAGTACATGAGCGCTGGTGTCAAAGTTTCATCTCTCCGGGTGGACATATTCCTCCATGATCCATCACATCGTTTATCTCCGCGCTGAGAGGACAACTACGGTTTTTTCCTCTCTCCTAAATAACTTACACGACCTTTGTTCTGATTTAACGGTCAGTGCCGTAACTAGCCATTCCTGTGCCGTGCAGGAATTTGTATTTAGGCCCCTTAATTAATTAGGTTTGGGAAAGTAATAAAACAAATACATGCATTTTGGGCCCCTCTTTCAAGTGGGCCCTGTGCGGGTGCACCTGTTGCACCTGCTTAGTTACGGCACTGTTAACGGTAACAATTTCCTTCTTTTATATAACATACAATTAATTTGATTTCGAATCTTGTCTGGAACCTCGTAGAAAATACGCCTAATACGAGGTTATCAGCCTGCACAAAATATGATTTAAGTACTTTTCAAGGGTGCCGAGTTTAAATATTTGTTCCGTTTTTTTTGCGAAATCTGATTCGTTGTCAGATGACCACTTGATATTCGACTGTGAATGGAACAGTTTCTTAGAGATAACATTAGAAAAAAATTATAATATCTGAAAAAATTTCAATTCCTGTCTACTTGACTAATGAAATTGTGCCATTTCGTACCATCCGAGCGAGTATCGTGGTAAACGTGACAATGATAGGGTAAAGTAACCAAATTTTGTATGTGGTTTTCGTTTTAATATTTGTTATATCATAGTATTTTCATTTATATAAATACAAACGTTATTTTGTGTAAGAGTTTATCACACCGAGTGCCGAATTTAACACATTTTAAAATTTTTTTATTCCTCTACTGTACACAATTTAAAGAATTTTTAAAATGCGTTAGACTCTACACTTGTGATAAACTTTGTTGTTATATAAATTAAATACCATATAATATAATATAATAGAAGGGTTAGAACTACGAAATAATCTTAATGTTTGTTGTTATTCTTTGCCCCAGCAATGCAGGGCTCATCTGCTAGTGACATATTTTCCAATACGTTCAGTTTTAGTTGTATCGACAATGAATCAGTCCTAAAACTTTTCGACCATACTTAAAGAATATTATAAAGATATATTCTTTACATATTGTCTCATTTTATTAATTTTAATTAGTAAATCATTCTAATACGAAANTAAATATAATTTTTATATATATAATCTACTGTACTATATATTTTATATAGTACCTTATTAATCAAGATTCCACAATGAGATGAACCTGTAAATGAATTTCTTACTGTTTAAAGAAAGTTTAAAATGGTAACATGTATTACAAAATGATTTGTTTTTGTTACCCTTTATCATCATTTCAACGAATGTGAAATGATGTGAAACGAACCATTCATTTAATTAAACTGCAGTTACAATAATACATTTTTAGTTTTTAGAACTATTACATATACTAGCTGTGTAATAATTGATGTAAAAATATTGTTCTTATGATTAAAAATCACTAAAATATTTTTTAAAAATACTTCAAAGTATACCATATAAATATTTTATAACTTATTTGTAATTTTTAATGTGAAATGATCGTGGCAAACTGTTTTATCTAGGTTTTCAGTTACCAAGTCCACATTATTTCAGATAATTGGGTTTTACAATCATATAGTTTGTTTAAAAATTTTCCTTGTGTTTTGAAATTTGTTAATTGATACTTTGATTTGCATAAATATTATACATAAATTATTTTTACATATCTGTATTTAAATACTAATAATTTTCATTTATTGATGTTATTTAAATTCTGTGTATGGCTTACAACTTTGTCTTATTTATTACAGATACAATATCAGAAATAAACCAAAACACTCTATGTATTTAAAAAAAACTGTTTAATATTTGTCTCAACAAATTCATTGATAATGGCTGAAACCGAATTAAACGAAGTTACCATCAAACAACTTTCAGATGAAGAGCTCTACCAGAAATTAAAAGATTTAGGTGGTCCAGTAGGACCAATTGTTCAAAGCACTCGTTCTGTCTATGAACGAAAGTTATTGCAGAAACTTAACGGTCCTGTTGGAAGTGATACTTCTGAACATTCTGAACAAGATGAAACAGAAATAGATTATCCACCTCCCAAATATTATCCCGAAACCAAAGTAATATCACCGCCAAAATTTCAGTTTCGAAATAGCAGCAGTCACAGCAGCAGCAGCAGCACCATCACTTCCACCGAATTTAGATATCGCACATCTTCAGATACTCCTTTTAAGAGAGAAGGCATGTATTTCGATCCAACAAATCTTGCCAGAAGTAGTTACAGAGCAGATTTGAAAAATGCAAAACACAAATCAAATATCTATGGCGAAGCCAAAACTTCCATTTTGAATAAACAAGAACCTGCTCAAAAATCGAAAACAACCAAAGTTGTATTTGTCATCATTTTTATTGTAATAATAATAGTTTGTTTAGTAGTTTATAATATGGAAAGTAATGCACCTATTCCTATCCCACAATTAAAACATCCGTGAGTCGTGTTGTTTACATAATAGCCATTTCAACTGTGCCTTCTTGTAGCTTGTTTTTATAATAAATTCAAATATAATATTAACTATAGAAAGAATATATTGTAAATTAAAAATTTAAAAGATAACCTATGAAATTTTGTTTGTTTGGAATTTTACAATGCTGTTTTTTGATAAACAACAGTTCCATTAAAAAAATAAAGATGATATTCTCGATTCAATTTAAACTGTAAATTAACCTATTTATTATTTACTATTAAAATTGAGTTCTGAAAATTCTTAATTGTTAATTGATTAACTTTACAGTTATTACGTATACAGTTTCGTGTGTAATTGAATTGGTAGTTATAATTATATATGCAATAATGCTGTAATCATTTACTAAGTTTCAATAATGTAAGAATTTTCTAATGTTTTGTATTCTGTTACTTCATGATTAAAGTGTATTTGTGAAGTTTTACCATAGCATTTCTTTGATAATTTACAGATTTACCAGTTTTTTTATTTCAGATAAAAGATGCCAGGCTAATAATTAAATAAACAAATCACGATTAGACCCATTTATCTCCTTTAGATAAGGGTACAAAAGAACATACATTGGAAATAATTTTTATGTAGATTATGTGACTTATGTCAAATACAAAACATTATGCGTGACTGTGACCTCTGGTTATGCACGTGATCTCGAGCAGATGGCGTTACAAATGTAATGTTTTTTCAATGGAAAATTCGAAACGGGTGCAGGTAGAATAAGCTGAGAAAGTATTTAAATATTAAATGTAATAATCACAGAACAGTGATCAGGTTAATGCAAGAAAGTTTGATTATAAGGTTTATTTTTTAAACATATAAATATATTTGTTGAATTAGACTTATCTTAAAAACTGACCAGGAACGGTATTAAATCAGTGGTTCCCAAAATGCGCCTCGGCTTCCTCGGGCGCCGCGAAATGTAAAATTACATAATTTCCATTTTCAGTTCAATGTGATAAAACGTGACATTAGCAGACCTGATGCAAATCATTAACTCAGTAATAAAGATGACACATAGAATCAAAAATGTTAAAAGTCTCATACCATTGCAGAAAAACTCATTATCCAGTTGCTGTAGATATGGTGAACATTATGATCGATGCTGGGAAGCTGTTTTTGTCCAAAAACATTATCAGTCGCTGAATACAGCACAGCGAAGGCCCTCCAATGTTCAGTTATTGAAAAAGAAGGAAGGAATTTGGGTTGCAGCTGGATGAGGACACAGAGGATGATAATGATGATCAGTTAATTTGCTATGTAGAGTTTATAGATGATGATAACATTGTAGAAGACTCTCTTCTGTAAAAGTATCACTGCTGGTGTTAAGGCTCACGATATGTTCTAGATCCTTGATATTTTTACTTTCGAAAAAAATTTGGGAGTGGACCAAATGCATTGGTATCCTTACTGATGGTGCTCGTTCTATGTCCGGATGTTATGGAGGATTGCAAGCACTTTTCGAATCAAAGACCCCGATGCACTGAACCCATTGCGTTATTCACAAGGAATCACTCGCATCAAAATATCTGAGTCCTACATTGAACCAGGCCTTAGCATATGTAGTACATGAAGTAAACGTTATAAAAATGCAAGATTGAAGGCAAGATTTTTCAAAAAAACTATGTGAGGATGTGTGATCCGAGCACACGTCTTTGTTGTACTATAGCACTTCGAGACGGTACGAAATATTACCTCGAGAGAGCGATGGCTCTCTCAAGGTAATGTTTTGTCTCGTACTTTTGAACTGTGACAGGAAATTTATATTTTTCTTAAAGAGTATGCCAAAAATTTTGTGATTGAAGATTTTTTGGTAAACTAGCATACTTATGTGATATTTTTGAAAAGCTGAATGCTCTGAATTTCTCACTGCAGCAGTGGCGTGCCGCAGAGGCGGCGTAAGGCGTGGGCGACGTGGGCTACGGCCTCGCGGTCCGAGGGGCCTCGCGCCTTGAAGGTTTACGCATTACTTAAAAAGGCTGTGAACGCAACGGAAAAATTTTACTCGTCATAAAACGATAAATATATTGACATAAGAGACCAAGAAAACGAAAGGCTAATTCGTAAATCTCAAAAACTACCACAATTTGTTTGAGAGATTAATTGATATCATTAATTTCGTATCCTCTCATAATCTGGCATTAAGAGGTCACAGAGAATCTCTCAAGACAGACGACGGCACTAGGAATTTTGGTAACTTAATAGACTTATTTAACACCACGATTGGTTCTATAACAAGCAATATGGATTCGAGATTTATGTCTTTAAATCGACATTTTGAAAATTTTGGTTTTCTCTATGATCTAGGCGAGTTAAAAAATATTCCAAAAGAGCAAATATTAAAAAACTGTCAAGATTTACACTCAGTCCTGCGAGTTGGTGAAAGCAGTGACTTCCAACCTTACGAATTATATGAAGAATTATAAACAATGATTCCAAATTTACACAACTTCATTAAAGATGTGAAACAGCTGGTCCAATACATAACAGAAAATAACTTGAAAGAAATTTACCCAAATATTTCCATTGCCATTCGAATTTTGTTAACAATACCGGTAAGTACTGCCTATGCTGAAAGGAGCTTTTCAAAATTAAAACTAATAAAAAATTATTTAAGAAATACAATGGGCCGGGAAAGACTTTCAGCTTTGGCAGTTTTATCTATTGAAGCATATATAGCATGTAAGCTAAATTACGATACAATTATTAAGGAGGTTTTTTTTAACTCTCCTTCCTGTGGGCACTAAGAGGGCCTCTTTTTGCAAGCCATTATGAGTTCGGCCAGGCTCACAAT